GCCACAGCGCCCTCAAGCGGAGTGTCAGGGAAGCGGCCCAAGGGCCACCAACTGCGGAAGTGGGCCCGCAAAGGGGTTTATAGCAGGTGTTTTTAACTCGCCAGCGCCAGCACTATCCTGAGAGTTTGAAGGGATGCTAGGAGTTGAAAACAGCTTTTACATATTACTTAAATAATTATTTAAGTATTATTTAAATAAGTGTTTAAATATAATTTAAATAATTCCTTTGTATTTCTTAGGCAGACCTTGAGGCCCAGAGAGGTTAGAAGACTTAGAAAATTCCAATAGTTATCAGCTTTGGACTGTTTGAGCCTAGAACTCTCTAAATCACGTAGTTATTGCAAGGAGGATTGCACTGGTTTGCCTAAATCATAGGGTCAAAAAAATAATTTTTTTACCAATGTAAAAATATAAAAATATTTTAAAATAATCAAAATCGCCTGCCTGCATGGCTCAGTGGTTGAGCGTTGACCTTTGAACCAGAAGGTCATGGGTTCGAGTTCCTGTCAGGGCATATACCCAGAGTGCAGGCTTGATCCCCAGTGTGGGGCGTGCAGGAGGCAGCCAATGATTCACTCTCATCATTGATGTTTCTATCTCTCTCTCCCTTTCCCTTACTCTCTTTAATATATTTTAAAAAATAATAAAATAAACCAATTATGAAGAGCATACTATGCTAAGAATGTTATTTAAGCACTTAATAGCATAGCCTGGAGAATTAAAGAAGATATGAGTTGAAATCATCACCCTTCATCACCATTATCTGAGATGGAATAGTAGTAAAGTTAATTCTGTGTTGTTGAATCATTGTGATGGATACAGGAATTTGTGATGCAACATGATAAACTTTTAAAACTTCAAATACCAATTTTAGTTAATCTTCACCCAAGGATAATTTGCTATTGATTTTTAGAAAGAGTGGAAGGGAGAGGGAGAGACAGAGAGAGAAACATTAATGTGAGAGACACATTGGTTGGTTGCCCCCTGCACACACCCCAACCAGGCTGATGCTCTATCCACTTAGCCAAACCAGCTAGGGCTCAAATACCAATTTTAGAAATATTGTCTTAAACTAGTGTCTCTAAGATAGAGGTTTTATTATCTACTCAGAAAATGTCTAGATGAATGTTTGGTGTGTGGTAATTATGACCTTGAAATTATAAAGTAGAACATCAATAAACATACGATTTTCTGAATACAAACATTCACTGTTTCTGTTTTTAAAAAACAGCCTCTTTCTTTTAAAGAATTCTTATAATGCTTCCATGGACTTATATTTTAGCATTTTCCATGATAAGTATTTACAATATACTAGATCCTTTTCTTTACTGTGTCAAACTTTCCAAAATAATCTTCTGGTAGTAATAAGATTAGGACTTCCCTGAGTCAGTTTTTACTTCCACAAAAGTGAGCAGTGAAAATGTACACATGGAATCATTTTCATCTTCCTTTTTTCAAAGCTTATAGGAATGCTTAATCCTGTGATTCATGTTACTGGTTTTAATATATTCTATTCTGCATAGGGAACAGAAAACTTCTTACACTTTTGCAACTTGGAGCAATTGTGTCTAACTTGAGAAGCAATGTCACCGTCAATCCTGGACATCTGTGGCCTCAAGAGAGAGGAGAGCTACTGAAGGACCTCCCGCCCATAGATCATAAAAATGAGATCATAGTCCATAAAAATAAAACAAAACACAAAAACAAAATACAGCGTATTTGGGGTGAAGAATTCTGCTCTTGGGCCTCCAGGGGACTGTGCCTGCCTGTATTAGCTACCTCTCTTCCAGCCTTATCCCTATCCACGTTAGCCAAAGGAATGCACGCCCCGTCTGATTTTAAGGTCATTTCCAAGGAGACTAACGCATCAGGTCACACCCACAAGAAGCAGAGTGGGAGGACAATTGGCTCTCCCACCCACCTTCACAGTGCTCAGACCCCAAACCGCTCTGAAAACGCTCACGCCCCCCAGATCGAGTCCTCCAGGCAGCGCACTCTCCGCCCGGCAGGTGGCGCTGTGGGCGGGCTGGCAGTTTCAGCCGAGCGAGCAGATCCCGGAATCCCGTGCCGCCGCCGCCGGTGCTGCTTGGGTTTGAGCCGCACGTGCAGAGGCGCTCCTGGCCCCGGTGGTGGGTTGGCTGGGACCTCCGTATGGGCGCCCGCCATGGCCCCGCCGGCAGAGACGCGCGTGTTCCTGGAGGTGCGGAGACGGCTGCAGAGCGCGCTGCTGATCCTGGGGTAAGGCCAGGGGTGGGAGTGTGGGCTCCTGGGCACCGAGCCTCGCTCGCCTCTATGCTACCCGGCAAGTCTCCGCCTCCCTGGGGAGGGTGGGTTTTTGAATTTCTTCTTTCCAGTTGCTTAGAGCTCTCTTGATTACTCAGAGTAGAGTGCTCCCTCTCCTATAGCCCCCCACCCTCACCCCCCTTCTACCATCTCGGCATCACCTGGCAGCTTCTGAGAAATGCAGTCTCAGCCCACAACAGACCTGCTGAATCAGAACTTGCGTTTGACGTGCTTCCCCGATTCAGATGCAGTTCACGTGTGAGGAGCACTGATGTAAAACATCGTTGGCGGTGCCCGGCGTTTCCAAGGAAACGGTGCCAAAAAATGCCTGTCTGACTCATTAAAGGATCTTCATTGTAGGATCAGTTCCAAAATGAGTTTCCCGTTTTATAAATAAAGTCGGGTTTTTTTTCCCCTCCCCAGACTGTTCTATGCAGAGAAACTGATACAGTCGTTTAAAACGTGTGTTTAGCGAGTGACTAACAAAGGTGGTATGCTTACTACAGTTCATTCTTTTATTCACATTACGAGTTCCAATGGGAAGTCTGCAAACCGTTTAACTTCTTTTTTTTTTCTTTTCCGTACATAAATACGAAACTGTTAGGAAAAGTGTTCTCCCTTTTGTTTTGTTTTGTTTTGTTTTGTAGTATGTGATCCTTTCTCCTGTGCCCACTGTTTCAAATACAGCAAATTCAATATTAAAATCCTAAAAATTTTATTACACAGCGCCACTGTGAGGTAGATTGGTGCTTAGCTTTACCTCTTTTCCTTAAGTCAGCCAGGTGTCTGTGTGGCAGTTTTGGATTTGGCAGGAGAACTGAATTCAAATCCTAGCTTCTTCACAAAGGTAGAATTCTATTTAGTCTGAATTTTTTTGAATTGTAAAATGGGGATATTTACTTCTCTTATTTCTATCTCTCAAATCAGATAAGTATCTCCAATTCCATTTCACTTTGTAGGGTAATAAGGGACCCAAACCTTACACAAAACAAAACAACCTCCCTACTTTCTTCAGGGTTGTCCTGGATTACTCTCCCTTGTTTAAGCAAGTTCAGAAACCTAACTGCTGGACTACTGGTTTGTCCCCCAGTGGTCTTTGACCATTGAGCTTTATCACTAATCAATTCCCTCTACTCTAAAAGCAACCAGTGTTCTGATTTCATTCAACAAAGATTGGTTTTGCCATTGCTCACTTTGTTGTTGTTGTTGTTTCTGGCTGCTTTCCTTCAACAGTGTTTCTGAGATTCATGTTTCATCCCTGCCATCGAATACGTAAATAATCCAATTCTTTTTTCCTGCTGAGTAGTTTTCCACTGAATGAACATATGACAGTTCATTTATTCATTCTCCGGTTGCTGGATATTTTGTGTGTTTTAGAGCAGGGTAGGGAACCTTTTTTTTCTGCCAAGGGCCATTGAGATACTTAAAACATCATTTGTGGGCCATACAAAATTATCAACTTAAACATTAGCCTGTTATATTTGGTCAAACATTTAATTAACTAGCCCCTAATGCCTTGGCAGGACCAGACCAAACGACTTAGGCCTTATATGGTCCGAAGGCCATCGTTTCCCACTTCTGTTCTAGAGTTTGCTTATTATGGATAAAGCTGCCACACATTGTGTATAAGTCTTTTTGTGGACATGCATTTTCATTTCTCATAGGTAATTACCTAAGAGTGGAATTGATGGGTCATAGGGCAGATGTGGCCTTTACTTTATGAGAAATTGCCAAACAGCCTCCAAAGTGGTTGTACTATTTTACACTCTCACCAGGGAAAAAAAATGAGAGTTCCAATTGCTTCACATTCTCATCTGCATTTAGTGTTGTAAGGCTTTTTGATTGTAGTCATTATAGTGATATAAAGTGGTATCTCATTGTCATTTTAATTTGCATTTCCTTGACTAATAATGTTGAGTACCTTTTATTTGTTCTTTGGTTATTCACATATGTTCCTTAGTAAGGTATCTTATAATGTTTTGGCATTAAAAAATCCGGTTGTTTGCCTTATTGTTGAATTTGAAAAGTTCTTTATATAGTCTGGAAAAATGCTTTTTTTCATTTATACCTTGTGAGTATCTAAATATTTTCTCTCAGTGTGTAACTTACCTCTTCATTTTCTTAATAGTGTTTTTTGATGAACAGAAATTTTTAATTATAATGAAATCCAGTTTATTGCATTTTTCCTTAATGATTAGTGTTTTTGTATCTTAAGAAATCTTTGTCTACCTTAGGCTTGCAAAGATTTATTTTCCTATGTTTATTTTTTAGGAGTTAACATAGTTTAAGCTTTTACATTTAGGTCTGTGAATATGGTAAATTCATTTTTGTGTTTGGAGTGAGGCATGGTCAAGTTCTTTTTTTTTTTTCTGTAAGGATATCCAGTTGTTTTATCACCATTAGTTAAAAAGACTGTCATTTCTCCCATTGAATTAACTCAGTGTCTTTTCAGAAATCAGTTGACTATACTGTTTGCATGGTATGTCCTTTTTTACACGTTTACTCTCAATCCATCTTTATATATAAAATTTTTATAGCATACTGGGTGAAGTTTTTTAAAATTCATTCTGACAATTTATACAATTAATTAGAATTTTTAGTCTACATATTTTACAGTTAATGTACATGATATGATTGAATTTTATTCTTGTTCCTAATCTTAAAACAAATGCTTGTAGTATTTAATCTTTAGGTATGATGAAGTTGATTTTTGGCTAACCTGTTTGGTAGATTGCATAGTTCTTCTTCTAGCTTAAGGGTGTGTGTGTGTTTTAATTTATTGATTTTTTTTTGAGAGACATCAATTTGTTGTTCCATTTATTTATGCATTCAATAATTGACTCTTATATGCTCCCTGACCAGGGATTGAACCCACAACCTTGGTGTATCAGGATAATCCTCTAACCAACTGAGCTACCCAGCCAGGGCCTAGTTTAAGGTTTTTAATAACGAATAGATATTATATTATCTGTAATTATTTCTGCGTGTATTGTGACGATCATATTTTTTGCTTTGATCTTTACATCTGTGAATTGCATTAGAAAAATCTATTTATGTCAAGCCATCTTAGCATTCCTGGGATAAATCTAAGCCATTCATTTATTCAATCCACAGATATTTACTGAATTCCTATTCTAGTGCCAAAACCTCAGATTCTAAGTATGGGTATACAGCTGTGAACAGTAATAAGAACAAAGACAAAAATATTTATTCTCATTGAATTTACAGTCTAATGGTGGCAGTGGGTGAGAATTAGGCAGAAAAAAACACATAAAATAAACAAAATACACATTATATTGAATACAGATAAGCACCTGGAAAAAAAATACAACAGAAAAAGGGATAGGTAAAACAAATGACAAATTGTTATTCCAAAGGCAAAAACAAGATTTGAGTAATAAACTGAAAGAAATATGGTTTGGAACTATGGGATACCTGGTAGAAGACTGTTTTCCTCTGAGTATGAAGGGGTGCTTAGTTCATAGAGGTGTGGGTGGGCTGGTGGAACACATAATAAAGGGTCATACAATGAGTGGTGTGCTGGTGAGTGTTTAGCAACCTGCACTCCAGGAAAACAAAGCAACCAACCAAACAAAAACCTCCCAATTTGCAGCATTTACTGATTTCTGTGATGTAAATACTTTCACTATGGATGATGCCAAAGCTGTCAAAGTGAGGTCAACTGGTTTGCAAAATACCTGCAACTTTCACACTTGGCTCTAGTTATATCACTGGGTCTTATACACCATTGAAGAGACATTAGCTGGTACTCAGGGCAAGATATGAACTTACTGGATAGTTTCAAGCAAAATGTGATGCCTGAAAGAAGACAAATGGATAGTGAAGAAAGCCTCAAGTTATAAAAAGTGCTAACAAAAAGAGTTTCAAAACTTTGTTTTGGATTGATAGCAAACTTGAGATAAGTTGCTGTCACACCTGAATATGTTACTGTGGATTTCCTACACGTAAGCACGTTTTCCTACATAACCACCAGGAAACCCTCAAAATTGGGAAATAGGTTACTGTCTTCTTATACTCAAACCTCACTCAAGTTTTGCCTGTTGTCTACATAATATCTGTGATTGTGCAGGGATCCAGTTCATTCATTGCCAGGTTTACCTTGGAAGGAACAGTTCCTCAGTTTTCCTTAACTTTCATGATCCTGGCACTTTTGAAGATTACAGCCCAGTTTTGTAGAATATCCTTTCATTTGGGTTTGTCTCATGTTTCCTCAAAATTAGGTTCAGGTTATCCATCTTTGGCAGTAATACCATAGAAATGATTCGGTCTTCTCATTACAACCTATCAGATGGCACGTGATTTTGATTGGTCCAATTAAGTTTCACATTAACCTTGAGTACTTAAAGTGGTGTCTGCCAGACTTCTCCACCATAAAATTACTCTTTTTTTCTTCAAAATCAGTGTTACTGAAGAGATCCTTTGATACTATGTAAATGCCCTGGTCCTCATCAGACTCTTCTTTTTTTTTTTTTTTTTTTTTTTTTTCATTCATTTATTTACATCAGTATGGACCCAGAGTTTTTTTCAGTGGGTTACTTTTTTAATCAAATTACTCCAGTGGTGGCCCCTTCAAAATTATTTGTGTCTTTTTTTATGTATTTAATGTTTTTTTTTATTGATTTTAGAGTGAGGAAGGGAGAGGGAAAGACAGAAACATCAGTGATGAGAGAGAATCATTGCTCAGCTGCCTCCTGCTCACCCCCCACTGGGGATAGAGTCCATAATCTGGATATGTGCCCTGACCTGGAATTGAACCAGGACCTTCTGGTTCATGGGTCGACTTGACTCTCAACCACTGAGCACACTGGCCTGATTCTATGTCTTTTTTTTGACATGTCCCTATCATTTATTAATTTTATGCACAGCAAGATGCTCCAGGCTCATCTCATGTTTTTCCTATTCCAGCCTTGCATGTAGTTATTTTTCCAAGGAACCCTGGTTTGTTTTGCTTTTGTTCATTTGTTTTTAAGCGGAAAATGGTCTTTAGAAAACAAGATCTGGGCACAGAGTGTGCTCATTACTATTGGGTGTCACTTCTCCAAAACCCACTAGTGAACAGAGCTGAGAGTGTGTGTGTATGTATGTGTGTGACATACTAGTATATGTGATGTTTGTGTATGTGTGTATGTATGTGTATATCATACATGCACATACATATGTGGACATCTACATTTATTACTGTATCTGTTTATATACATTGAACACCATGACTTCACACTGATATTTCCAATTCTAGTCTACCACCATAGGATCCATTCTGGTTTTCTCCCTTTCCTCTTTGTAACTCTGTCCTCCCATAGTGACAATCCTGGCTTTCATTTTCCTCATGATATATATTGAATATATATATATATATATATATATATATATACACATACACACACACACACACACACATATACATACATACATATATATATTGTTGACAGTCTCCTCACCTGCTTGGGCTGCTTGGACTAAATGTTTATGTCCCGTTAAAATTCATATGTTGAAACCCTAACTCCCAGTGTGATGGTATTAGGAGTGGGGCCTTTGGTAGATACTTAAGTTTAGATGAAGTCATGAGGGTGGAGCCACCATGATAAGAGTCAGGCTTTTATAAGAAGGGGCGCCAAAGCTTCACCTTTCTGCCATCTGAGGTTACAGGGAGAAGGCGGCCACCTGCAGGCCAGAAAGAGGGCCCTCAATAAGGAGCAAATTTGCTGGCACCTTGGTCTTGGACTTCCCAGCCTCCAGAACTATGAGAAATAAATGCCTGCTGTTTAAGCCACCCAATATGTGGTATTTTCTTATAGTTGCTTGAGCTGACTAAGATAGGCTCTGAAACCCCATGCTGAGCTGCCCTCCAACCCCCAGATTTCCACCTCACCCCTCTTTGGATCTGACATCCCTGCTGCGTGGCCTCCTTAGCTCTCAGGCTGTATGGTGCATGCCCCCCTCACCCTGCTGGATTTCTCAGACACACTCCAGGCCACTGTGGTTCTCCCACCCTTGCATAGATGCCTTTCTTACTTGGCCTTGTGTAATTGGCTGAATTTTTCAGGGAAGATAAGGGGAAGAGTGGTAAGCCAGAGACGGGGTGGGAGTGGGGGCTTAGGAACCCAGTAGTAGCCCCTGGAGCACTTCCAAGTGCCAACTGGAAATTTGAAAATCACTGAAGTAGCAAAGTGGACACACTGTGTATCTTTAGAGTAGTGGTTGTCAAACTATGGCCCATGAGCCAAATCTATCCTGTGGCCTGTTTTGGTACAGCCTGTGAGCAGAGAATGTGTTTTACATTTTTTAAAGGGTTGTTAAAAAAGAAAAACACAAAATAGAATATGCAACAGAGACCATATATGGCCTGTAAAACCTGGCTTTTATATAAAAAGTTTTCTGACCTCTGCTTTAGAGGATTTTTAAAATATATTTTTATTGATTTCAGAGAGAGGGAGGGACAGAAGCATCAATGATGAGAGAGAACCATTGATTGGCTGCCCTCTGCATGTCCCCTACTAGGGATCGGGGCGAAACCCAGGCATGTGCCTTGGCTAGGAACCAAATCATGACCTTCTGGTTCATGGGTTGATGATCAACCATTGAACCACACCGGCCATGTGAGGATTATTATTTCTTAAACATAATTTCTTAAAATTAGACTTTTGACCCAGGAAAATATTTGGGTTTTTTGATATTCTATGTTGCCAATTAAGTGTAGATCCATATACTTTGAGAAGGAGCTAGCCAGAAGGTAGTCTTAAGATTTTCTAAGGCAATTAAGAGGCCTAACCAAGATTCACACCTGAACACAGGGTTTGACCTCTGTACTTAGATGACACTCTGTAGATGACGCACATTCTGAAATTAGGTGACACAAAGTGGATGGCCTGCACCTGCTGACTGCTTTTAAGAGGGAGTCCTCTGTTACAGTGCTAAGCATATTTCAGCTTCATATGAGAATCATTTCTCTATGTGTTCAATCCCCCTTTATATTTTGGTGGGTGGGCACTGTGTGTTATTCTTTATTGCCTACACTGAGTGATTTGTGTTTGTAGTGAACTGGATTAATAAGGCCTTTTATGCCTGGTATTCATACTCACTAGATTTTCGTAATTTTTTTTTTATTCTTAATGTTGACAAAAAAATTTTTCTCCTGTACCTTTTATTTAATGTAATCCTGATCTCCTTATCAAAATCCTGTATATCCAATAACAATGCTTGAATTTACTGAAAGTAAAACATTGTCACGCTGGTCTCAGGAGCAGGAGTATTTCACTCACGCATTCATTCATTATTCAAATATCATTAAGTTAGTGCTTGGTTGATGATAGTCACTACACCCCTCCATGTGCTTCCATAGTAACCTGTACTTGTCAGGAATAAGTACAGTGTAGTTTCCACTGATCCCTTGAGCATTCCTGTTTACTTACCTGTCCCCTATTTGGGGGAGGGGGGGCAGAGAAAATATATTGTTAGTTGTTATATTTCCAAGTACCTGGCACATTATATATAGAACTCACAAAAGATGGTTTGAATGAATGAGTGAATGAATGAATGTACAAACCATGCTATGGTCAAGGGATGCAAAGATGAATAAGCCACTGTCTTATGCTGCCTTTGTTGAATTCTCTTCCCAAAAATATTTCAAAGAACAAGTGTATGACATTTGACAGGCCAGTGTTAGACTGTGCTTGTTTGAAGAAACTGAAGTTGGGGAGACTTGTGGGAGGAAATTGGGGGCATGAGGAAATGAAATGGCAGGCTGTGCAGAGCAACCCCAGGAAGGTCCAGGCTGGAGCACGTGGAGGAAGCTTTAGGATAGAAGAGAGAGCTGGGACCGGACTCACGATTATTATCATTGGAAAAAGTGCACATTTTAAAGTGCATCATTAGCATAAAAAAGAAGCAATCATAAAATATATATCCCAGAACTTTCATGTTACAGTAATAGTGTAAAGTGCTCTCTGACCTGGTCTAAACCTAGTATAGACTTTTTTTTTTTTAATGATTGGCTCACTGTTATTTTTCTGGGATAGTTAACTTTAGGGCCTTTACTGAAGAGGAACAGAGAGATTGTTGGCCGTTTTTGTTTCTTTTATCATGTGGTTTTCAGCAGTGAGAAATAATTGTTGTGTGTTTTATTTTTAATTGCCAGAGAGCCCAAAGAAGGAGGTATGCCCATGGATATTACCATAACTCCCTCCTCGCTCCAGGTGAAAACCCCTGGAGGCTGCACAGAGATCTGCCTTCCAGCAGAGGTCAGGCTTGTGCCTTCCTCTGGCCATGGGCTGCAGTACGTGGCTGGAGATGGACTACACCTGCGGCTGCAGGCGCGGACGGAATTCAGCACAAGTAAGCAATGCTAGCACTCCTGTTTCTGCATTAACTTTTTCCCTACAAATCAAAGGTGATTTTTCCCTTAAGAAGTTGAATTTTCCCAGATGTAAATAGCTGCTCATCAGTGGCATGGAAGAAGCTGGGAGTGGAAAAGATCTAGGGCAGTGGTTCTCAACCTTCCTAATGCTGCGACCCTTTAATACAGTTCCTCATGTTGTGGTGACCCCCACCCATAAAATTATTTTTGTTGCTACTTCATAACTGTAATTTTGCTACTGTTATGAATCGTAATGTAAATATCTGATATGCAGGATGTATTTTCATTGTTACAAATTGAACATAATTAAAGCATAGTGATTAATCACAAAACAATATGTAATTATATATGTGTTTTCCGATGGTCTTAGGCGACCCCTGTGAAAGGGTCGTTTGACCCCCAAAGGGGTCGAGACCCACAGGTTGAGAACCGCTGCTCTAGGGTCTTAGCCAGCTCTGCCATTTATCAGCTATGTGCAGTTAAACGTGTCACATAATCTTTCTGAGGTTTTGTTTCTTTTGGATTTTTTTTTAGTGGTTTTTGTTTCTTCCTAATACACTTACTTTTTAGAGCAATTTTAGGTCCACAACAAAATTGAGCAGAAGTTCGCAAAGATTTTCCATATACCTCTGCTTTGTCTCTTTAATTGTAAAATTACCTGGCTCACAGAGCTGATATGAAGGTGAAGTAAGATGGTTTGTGCAAGATGTAGTTTATTTTAAAGCGTTACATAGAAATTCATTAATTCGGTAACCATTACCTTATATTATGAGCTAGGAATTGCTCTAGATTATAGCGATACAGATGTGAACAAACTAGGAGGGTCTCTGGCTTCAGGGAGCTTACATTGTAATGCATGGGAATAGATAATGACCAAATTAATTACTTGGATACAGAGAAAAGCGCCATGGACAAAGTAAAGCCAAATGATGGGATAGGGAGTGACTGGGGTTGGATGGAGAGTGATGGAGAAGGCCACTTGGAAGAGGCGATATTTGATCAGAGAACTGAATGATGGAAATGATCCCGTCCATGTAGAGACATTTCCAAGTAGAATAGTACATACAAAGATTCTGAAATTGAGTATGATACATAATTTAATTTTGAATGTTGCTATGCCTATCTTATTTCCAATATTTGTTACTGGTACATTGATTCAGTAAGATAGTAAAAGTGTTTCTCAGAATAATTTATTGAATAAAATTATTGGTTTATTACATTTCTTACCATGTAAGTAATATACTTTTTAAAAAATATATTTTATTGAGTTTTTACAGAGAGGAAGGGAGAGGGATAGAGAGTTAGAAACATCGATGAGAGAGAAACATCAATCAGCTGTCTCCCGCACACCCACCACTGGGGACGTGCCCGCACCCAAGGTACATGCCCTTGCCCGGAATAGACCCTGGGCCCCTTCAGTCCGCAGGCCGATGCTCTATCCACTGAGCCAAACCAGGCAGGGCAGTAATATACTTTTGAGGATTAAAATGATGTTAAAATGGAGAACTTTATAGAAGTAAGGTGCAGAGGACTGATAGATGCTCATTATTAGAGAAGGATTTTATTTCTCCCAGCTTTACCCTTAGACTTAACTGCTGCCTCATTTTTACTAAGCATTTCATCTGAACTGCGTGGAGCCAGAGGTGGGGTCCGGCAGATTGTTTTGAAGAGCCATTTAAGAGATGGGAGCATTTTTCAGTTCCCCTGAGTCTTTGTGCTGGCTTTTGAAAGGGAAGAGAAGATAGAGAGCGAGTTTCGCTCCTTATTTGCTGGAGAGTAATTTTGCTCGTATCCTGGGTTGATGAATAACTAGTCTGAGTTGGGTAGAGTTGGTTTTAGGGATAAGAGGTAGGGAAAAGAAATGCCATGGAGCTTAAATGGTGTAAGATAAACACTAAGGATGACTGTTGGACTATTCATGGAAAGAAGAGTGGGTGACTAGACGGGAAGCACAGTAACACTCCCCAGTGTACCTAATGTAGGCGGAGGAAGTGGTGTGTCAGGGAAGAAGCGTGGGAGGCTGGCCCTTGTCTGGCCATCACCTTCTCTGTAGCAGTGATGAACAATAACAGCAGTCACAGTCTGGAACTTGGGAAACGGCATAGCGGGGTGTTTCAGATCTACTGTCAGTTTTCTGGGAACATGATTTTAGGGCCCATACTTCGGGGGTATGGAGACCTTTCAGAATCAAGAATTGGTTTATCACCTACCCATATTTTGTAACAGTTAATATGCAAATAGCAAAACTTGAACTATTTAAAAAAATTTAAGTCAGCAAGCATTATTGTTTAGTTTTGACTGGAGGACAAAATAAATTGACTGCTATGTGTTGTTTTGCATATTGTTTGCATTCATTGGTCTCCTGTTTCTTTCTAGTTCTGAAACATATTTTACTCAAATATCTGAAAAAGGAAAGCTTTCAAAAGCTTGTTCTGTAGTGCATGAAAAGGTATGCGAAATAGTCCTCAGTACTTAATTGCTTTAGAGCTTTGCTCATAATAGGTACTGAATAAATAAATACTAGATAGATGCATACTGATGTAAGCTTGAATCAGTCGGAATATATTGTAGAAAGAGAGTTTTGAAGTTTTTAGCATTCAATTGTGATGCGGGGTTTTTAAAAAGTTAACTTTTCTATTGTAAGAACTTTCTTCTAGGGATTATAGTAAACGTATTGTTATACTGTTTTGAATGTAACTTAGGTCAGATCATAACCTTGACGTGGAACACAAATCTGATATAGCACAAGCATGAGGTTTATCCCCAGGTGGTAGTGCCTCTCCCAGGATGCCCTGTATCTGAAAGTTCTGACTTGAACCTGAGCTAGAGGATCATGCTGGGTGACCAGCAGAGGGGAGTATTTCACTGAAAATTTGTTTACTGGTTCTGAAAAGAATATTTTGGATGTCTTACCTAGGTCTACTTAATCTTACCATACATACAAAATAACATAAACCAAATTTAAATTGCCTGATTCTAATGGACAGGACCTCATTTCTTTATATTTTTAAATATGACACATATTTTTGTGAGGTTTTTTTCTGGGGGGGGGGAGGGAATGAAAAAAAAATTTTCTTCATGAATAAATAAAGGAAACAGAGAATATACTGCTTTATGCTGCATTTCACATAATGTGGGAAATAATGTTTTTCCACAGCTTTAATCAGAAATTGAGTTTTGCTCTTAAGAGATTGAATTTTTCTTAGGAGTCATTCCATACTCAGGAACCTGTCCAATAGACCAGTTTCAAGATTCATTTTGTTAGTACATACTGGTAATATGCCAGAGTGGACATAAATCTTATTTAAATCAAATTAAACTTAAATTTAAAAGCTTTATTCACCAGCAGTCACAATGATGAAAAACTATACCTCAGACATAGCAGAAGAAAGCCGAGAATGGTGAAGCTCTGTGTAGTTAGCCTGATAGGAAAGAAATAGCCCCTTTTTCTTCATCTTTAATGTTGGTGTTTATGGAATGAGAGAAATAACAGTGTGTGACATGAACAATCTGGGCAACACCTAGCTCCGGAACAAGCAAAATCTGTTGTTTTTTAAAACACTTCACAATATTTACTTCTGGTTGAGTCATCAGATAATACTAATTAAATGTGTACTTCTGGGTACATCATAAACAGTATTTATTGATGGTAATTTATTGTGGCTGTTACACTCTTATAAATATGTTAACATATTTGTCCCAAACCTCTAAGATTTCTGTGTCATTTATTTCCTTTAGAGCTGACTTCAATGTTTAATCAAAGCTCAGAAGCCCAAGACTGCTGCACATTTTATTGCCAGTCCTGCGGTGAAGTCATAATAAGGGACAGGTAAGGAATGCGTCTAACATTGATTAATTCTGTGCCTGGCGATGCTTTTCTCTTTCCTATCAGAGTTTTTGAAGTAATCGCCAAGGGAACAGTGTATGGCCTTAAAACGAGAGCCAGCTTAATGCCACTTTGAACAACATCGGCCATAAAACTCTCCAGCAATCACAGAGCAGTTAAGTCTTCTCAGGCCAACCAGGGGGAACAATAGGATGCTGGCTTTGAGGGGGGAAGGGTTGGTTATCTTGGTGGAAGAGTGTTGATCACTGAAGCATCTCTCCTACAAAAAGAGACTTGGGACCTATTGCATGTTTTATCCATCATGTTGGTGAATGGGATTTTCCACATTAAGTGACTTTTCTAAAAAGGAAGGTTTTGCAGCACAACTTTTTATTTGAACTATTTCTATTAGCGCCTGTCTGAAATCCAGTTCCTATTTCCCTGCTTGTTAAAACAGCACATAGAGAACACAAATTAACCTTTTCTTGATGATCAGGCTAACCTTATAACCTGTTCTTGCTGTGTGCTGTGATGGCCCCACTGAGATGGAAAGGGCTCTTTGCGGTACCTTTGCATTCCCAAGTTGTCTCGTTGAATCATTTTCCATCTGCTCCCTTCCTCCTGTCAGCCTCCTTGTTTCCTGGGCACAAACCCTTCCCCCTGAATTTTCAGCTTCTGATCACTCATACACGGGAAAGACAAATGAAAGCCTTACACTGGTTAACAATATTTTTTAAAAGAATTTAGAGTTCTTTGTTTGGTGCATTTCCTCCAAGACAAGTGCCTGAGACTTACATGCAAATGGGTCCTTCTCCGTATCTGAAACCTGCTCCTCTTCCAGGGCTCCTAGTCTGAGGGCATGCAGACCTCTACTGCATCTTCAAGGTAGATTCCTGGTGGTGTCTCTGGGTTCCTCCTTGCCCCCCATATATAGTCACTCACCAGCTACTTTTGCTACTTCCTTCCCCGCATTTCTTGCACGTCCACATTCCTCCACCCCAGTGCTACTACCTCCCTCCAGGCTACTGTCTTCTCACCTAATAGCACTTGTTGCCAGCTCCCTATCTGCTTAGCCTTCCTCCAGGTTCACCCTCTTCTGAACATTTCTACACTATTGAGTGATTGTTCCCAAATGCAGCTGGCTCCCCTGTTCAAGCCCTTCCACATCTTTCAAGATAAAGTCCGTAAGACGTTAGCATGCCATGCCAGGTCCTTTATGAGTTTGTTTCTATTTACTTTTCCACCCTCAACTTCCTTTCTTTGTCCCCAAAACAGCACACCGTTATGTACACACATTCTGTGCACAGCTCTAGTGATCAGCCTGCGTCCCCCGACTCTCCATGCTTTTCTCCACCCTAGCTGGCTTAGTGAGAGCTACTGTCTCCCGTGGAATGTACCCGGTACCCTATTTCCCTCAGGTTCGCTCCTAAATTCAGCTCCTAAATTAAATGTCATCTACTGCTGGGAGCCTTCCCTGCTCACCACCCATAGTCTAATCTCCCTCTAAGATTTATTTGCCTGTCTTCCTGATTAAACTGTAGGCTCTGGGGGTGAGGATAGTCTTATTGACCCCTATATCCCTAATCCCTACTCATATTTAGAGTGCAGGGTACTCTAGTGGCTAGTAGTACAGACCCAGAAACCAGCCAGTCTGGGCTCACATACACCATTTCCTGGATGTGACCCTGGGCTAGTTACTTAACCACTCCATGCCTCAATATCCTTACTACAAACACATAGATAACAATAGGAGCTTCCTCGTAGGGTTGTCTGGAGGATCCAATGAATTTAAGTGTTTATAACCAAGTTTGGGACATGTTAAGCATTCAGTATGTGGTAGCTGCTGCTGTAATTATTCTTACCATCATCATCACCAAGATCTCCAGCATCAGGCATCATGCCTGATGAATAATGCACCTTCAATAAATTCTTGCTGGGTTGAATTAAATAAACGTTAGGGTGTTTATTTTGGCCTTCTGCCATCCTCTCTTGCTTGCTTTATGATTCCTGGCAGTGCCCCAGGTAGATGAGATAGCAGAAAGTTACCTTGGTGGAAATGGGAGGTTGTGAAGGGAGCATCCTCTGAATGATTATCTTGGGTGAGAAATGAGGTGATTCTCAATCTGTAGAGGAGAGAATGTTCTTGATCGAATTAGCAGAGGCTGAAGTTGCTGCAGAGTGTGCACTCTGGGATAGGCTCACCTTAGCCTGAGAGGGTCAGAGGATCCCAGTTTGCATTGTAGTTTAACCAAGAAAGTTTTCCTGGTCTCCGTCTACTTCAGGCTTTGGTTTAATTCTCATGTGAAGTTTCCTAAACATGCATGCCTGCTCAGCAATGAGCTGACCTAGTAGTTACAGCAGGAACAAGTGAAACTCAGTGTAACAGTATTGCTGCTTACAGTGGAGGTTATGCTCATTCATTACTGGCTGATATTTCATTGGAAAAGGGTGATGGATATGAGAAACCTTTATCTGTAGTCCCCATTTTCCTATTCAGGAACTGCACCTTCTGTTTTGTGTCAATCCTTTTTTACAATCATGGGATTGGGAACTAGAAGGGTTTAGAGGCTAACACTGAAAGACTGTATTTACTCTCCCTAATCCTGACCACTAGGAGGCCCTGTAGTGTGGAAGTGAGAGTGGGAGAGTGGGACCAGGATTTGAACTCCAGCTTCACCACTGGGGAACCTGTCCATATCACCTCAGCTTCTTTTTTTAACTAACATTATAAGTTTCAAGTGTACAATTCTATAATACATCACCTGTACGTTGCATTGTACGCTCACCACCCATAGTCTCATCTTCCTCTGTCACCTTGTATTTGACCCCTTTCACCTTCTTTATCCTCTAGTCCCCTTCATACCGCTGTCTGTGTCTATGGGTTTGTTCATTTGTTGTTTTCTGTTTTATATCCACATATGAGTGGTTTATATGTGGTTCTTGTCCTTTTCTGTCCGACTCTTTAACATGATACTCTCAAGATCTACCCATGTTGTTGTAACTGGCAGTATTTTATCCTTTCTTATGTCTGAGTAGTGTTGCATTGTACGAGTGTACCACATCTCCTTTATGAAACCATCTATCGAAGCACACTTAGGCTGCTTCCATGTCTTGGCTATCACGACTAATGCTGTAATGAACATAGGGGTACATATATCTTTATGAATATATGTTTTTAAAATTTGGGGGTAGGTACCCTGAAGTCAGCTTTTTCTTAAGTAGACAAAATGAGGCCTATTTTCCAAATTTGTGAAGAGAGTTAAAGGCTGTAACACGTGGAATATTAATGCTCAATAAGCTCTTTTTTATTGGTTCTTTAGGCTCCTTCAACTCCCTTTTCCATAATTGGTCTTATCAGCAAACTAGTAAATTACCTTGTTTAGTTTTTTAAACCTTTTTGGTTTACTACACTGCATTTTATAAATGTGCCAGGGAAATGATCCACCTTTCTCCCTTTTTATTTGACTTAGCCCTTGCCTCACGTTAGCTTACATTTTACTCTTAGGCAGTATGCCCTATGACTTTGTTTTATGGAAAAACGTGATTCCTCCAGTATCTGTACAAGGATTTCATGTTGACTGTGTACATTAAGCTCAGTGGTCTTCTCATCCCACTCCCCCCCCCCCCCCCCCCCCCCCCACACACACACAGTTATCTGTTTTACATAGTGATAAGGGCATCTTCTGTTCTTGTTATGTAGAAAATAAAACCAAAGGTATTTCGAAAGAGGCTTGAATGTGCTATAATCAAAATTAACTAATTGTAGACATCTTTACCAGGAAAGCACCTTGGAAAATGTTGATTTATCTGCACTGGGAGCCCCTCTAATAGGAGCAATGGAGCAGACCTAAGATCTGCCTACTGGCTAACCTTATCATCTGGGAACAAGTCAGTTTAATTCTCTGGGCCTCAGTTTCCTCATCTGTGATTAGTGAACCTCATAAAGTTGTACCTGGGTTCTGTGATTCATGTAATTTGGATACTGCAAGACTAGTGCTGTTCCTTTTTTTTTTCCTTGTCAAGCAAATTATAGAAGTAAGGTGCAGAGGACTGTTTAACTTATTAAGACTCATTGTGGCTTTAATACTTTTTAGTACCAGGGCACTGGAAATCTGCTAAGTGTAGTAGTAGTTTTTTTTCTTAACCTAGGAGTACATGCTCTTAGCCATTTGTTTTGGTATTTGAAAATAAATACTGCCTTCTTTACAAGAAAATGTCCAATTTGCATTTTTACTAGTTCAGCAGAGTTTTACTATAAAAATTGTCTGAACATATACAATTTTTTATTATGTTCTTGTTGAGACTCACAGGCCTTAATATAAAGCAGCAATAATAACAAAATTTACTTCTTTGTGAATAGTCTCAGAAACAGCTAAATGGTCATTGCATTTGGAATTTATGTCTTTGAGAAATAAATTCATGGCAGACTTGAATTACATCAGTTGGCCAGACTTTCAAACATATGCCGTTTGATTTTCAGCCCATTTGAGAGGTCTCCTGAGGTCTCTGGAGAGGCCCTCCCCATTCCACCTGCACCAGCAGAGCGAGGTGTCAGCCCAGCAGCTCATGAGGGCATTGAAACTCTAGAAGGAAACATGCAAAATGGACTTTATTGAAACACTAGAGGCCCGATGCACAAAATTCGTGCAAGAGTAGGCCTTCCTTCCCCCAGCTGCCGGCACCGGCTTCCCTCTGGCACCTGGGACCTGGGCTTCCCTCCAGCCTCCAGCAGGCACCTGGGACCCAGGCTTCTCTAGAATCCCTGGCTTCAGAAGGTTGTCCAGAAAGACATCCAGTCTAATTAGCATATTATGCTTTTATTATTATAGATTAAGAGATGTCACAATATCCAAACAATTGATTGGTCTACTTGACAGACCAGCTGTAATTGTAGCCTAAAAAAATCTATTCCCATGAATACCATCACTTTTTTATGAATGAGAACAAAGAAGTGAAAAAGAGTACAGGTACAAACTGGATTATTAGTAATACTGTACAAACTT